GATGCTGACACCCTCAGAGTTGGTCGTCTTTCAGTATTTTTCAGGTGTTTAAAAAAAAGCCTATACAGTTAATAACAACAGGACACTTTGATCCCTATTAATGTAATGTGTTTCTGTGTTGGAAAATACATCGAAAGATAATGCTAAATAATACAAGTAATTAGTGAAAACATGCCCAAGACTTGGCTTAAATGATGTTTGAAGTTGTGACTAAATTATTGCTGTCTTGAATAATCGTTTATTATTTCTAATATATTATCTGGGGACACTGTAGTAAAAATATTAATTTAATGAGTGTTAGAATTGACAAATATAGCACAGGGTTATTAATAGTGATCTTGCACTCTTTTTTTATTTAAATTTATGGAAACTTAATAAGACTTTGATTCCAATAAAAAAATAAGCAGGTGAAACAATAAAAGAATTGTCAATAGGCTGAAATAGCTGAACTCCGTGATTCTGCAGGATCAACTTTGAGGAAAAAGAAAAACAAACGTCTTGTTAGAAGGAGTTTTATTTGCTCTGTTTGTAACTATGTGTTCCAGATGTTGGGTCAGTGGAGGGACTTGCTTATCATAGAGCTTGGGACACTCTCTATTGGACCAGTTCAACCACATCCTCAATCACAAGACACACTGTTGACCAGAGACGTCGAGGAGCTTTCAATCGGGAAGCAGTAATAACAATGTCTGAAGATGATCATCCGCATGTATTAGCTCTAGACGAATGCCAAAAGTATGTATTATATCTTTCTTACCAGATTTTAATTTTTGCCTAATGTCAAGGATACAGCAGCGCTTCTTTATTTCACAGTCAACTAATACTGCTGACCCCTATGAAGGTTAAGTAGATTTATTGGTTTGGAAGACAAATCTTAGTATTATTTTTTTAAAAGCAATTGCAGAATTAAGATACACCATTTTATATGTTTTTATGCTTCAGACCACATAATCATTACGTTTTCACGGAATGTTAAACAATTCAAGCTGGTTTTAAGGAAAGTGAGTTAAATGCAAATTATCAAGAGTGATCATTTTACTGATTTCTTTTGTCAGAGATGTTACTATCATTGCTTAAATAAAAACAAAATTAATTTAAGCTTTTACATAAAGGAATATGATTTTCTTGTGTGGCAAATTGATATGCCTGTGTGTTTATCACAAAGATCAGCACTGTATATATTTATATGACAAGAGATGTACAGTTACAGTGCTTGTGGACAACATCCTGGAAAGAAGTCTAATTTAGTTCCCTTCCTGCAACTCTGAAGAAGATTGTGTTTCCTAGTAAGATAATAGGAGGGTTTATATTTCTACTTCGTCCTCTTGCTAATAAGTGTCTTTCAAATTTGAGTTACTTTAATCTTCTCTGTTAATTCTGGAAGAAAGGCAACCTGCTTTTTCTTCTTGTTTTAACTGGTCTCCCCTTTGGGGAGGCCAGGCTACATTTCTGCCTTATTATGTTCTATTTTTAATTTGTGACAGCTGAACGTATGGTGTTGCATGGGTAGTGAAGGAGGTTATTTCCATGCGTGACTTCATGTACAGCTTATGCAAATTAAGAGTCCATGCTGTATTGTAAAATACGATTTATCCAGGTGTCACAAAAACCCCAACTAAATACAGATGGAGATTGCAATGGGAGTATGGCAGGCGCTGATCAGTGTATAAATTACATCCACAGCTCATTCCATGGAATTTTGTTCACCATTGTTTAACAGTAGCAAGGGGCCAGCTGTGCCTCCTGTAGAGTATATTAAGGTCGCTTGATTCCCCATTATCACCCTTCTGCATACCAGTTCTAATATGGGGAAAGCTGCAGATTAATTTCACTGTTAGAAATTACTAATATACACATTAGCAGAATTAATTTTATATTGTAATGGTATATTAGTATAAGGCCATGATCAGAATTGAACAGACCTGTGAAGAGAAAAAAATCTGTTCTCGTATCCAAGTTAATGAACTAGGAAACTGCTATAATTTATAGAATGTTTGCTATCACATTTTCTTATTCACCATTGATTATCACAGTTTCTTATAGATGCCGTTCATAATTGTCTCTGAAGACATATGTTTTTTTCTGTTGCTCATTTCATAGAGAATTAAATTATAAAATGTATCTTATGCTTTTCTTTGTTATTTTGATTTTAATACAGCTTAATGTTTTGGACTAACTGGAATGAGCAGCTCCCAAGCATCATGAGATCTACCCTCTCAGGCAAAAATGCACAGGTTATCATTAGTACAGATATTCTGACACCAAATGGACTTACTATTGATCATAGGGCGGAGAAACTTTACTTTTCAGATGGCAGCTTGGGAAAAATTGAGAGGTGTGAATATGATGGATCACAGAGATATGTAAGTAAAACAAACATATTCATTGTAGATCTGCTTGTTTGCATTTTTTAGCACTTTTAAAATGTTACAGAAAGATCTTTAGTTGCCTAAGCTTCTCCTAATATTAATTGTATATTAGACTTAAAACTGAAAATATTTCTGATCTACAAGTAATGCTCTGTTTACTCAACACATTCCAATTTCTGGATGACCTTCTGGAGATGCAGACCCCGACCACAAAATCTGTTTACATTGGTATTGAGCGTGAGGCATCACTGTCCTAAATGATCTGTATCAGCTTGAAAAAAATGTAGAACTAGCTTCAGTAGAAGAGGTAAAGAAATGTTCTGCTTTACATGGGATGACTATAATTTTCCCTCCAGTGCCAATTTTTTCTGAATGCAGTAGAATTTCTTTTGTGTAATGTTTAAGTGTTACAAATCTTATTTTTTTTCTTTTCTAACTATCCATTTTCAGATATGTTCAACTGCACTCCATTACTCTTTTACCATAATACATTTTGGTCCTTGAGTGCTCTATTAGTTTCAGCTCAAATAGACCTTTTGCTTGGAATATGCTGAAGGCAGTTGATCTGTGCTCACGATTTTGTTGCATGTTTAGCTCTACATTTCTCATATTTCATGAAGTCTTCCTTTCAGGGACTTTGTACCTCCCAAAATGCATGATAAAATAAATGAAGGGCATGTTCTGGCTAGTATTTTCAATTCCCAGCGCTACAAGATAATGTTTTTTTACATGAATAGATATGAAAGTGAGCTGATGTACCCAAAATTCCTTCATATACTGTAGAAAACCTTTGAAATCTTTTTGCATCTTAAATGAGAATTACATGTTTTTCTGGAATCTTATCCCGATGTTATTCCATCATGAGATGTATACATCTACATTTTTATAATTGTAAATTACAAACTCCTATCTTGAAGTAAGGTTCATTTGTGAATTAAAAATGCCTATTTAAAAGACACACGCAACTTTTATTTCTTTCACAGGTAGAAACTTGTGTTGATACTTCATTGTGTTTGCCTGTAAGTTTATTGCCAATTCAGACACTCAGCCTTAAGTTCTTGGAGCTTAAGGATGTCCAAAAATACTTAGATACAAGCCATTTTATTCCAATGATTTGTTTTGCTTAAGTACATTGACATCTACTAAGTTATTTGTCCGTATCACTAACAGTTTTGTCACATTTATTAAGCAAAAGAGAAAAATATCTTTAGATCATCAATAGTGAATAATTTCAAAAATATTTTCCTTTATCTTCTATGTGTTACTCCGTTGTCATCTTAGAAAATACCTCCTTGTACTTTGGATATTCTTTTGTTCCTCTTCTGGTTCAACAGGGATTCTTAAATTATTTTCTTACACTTTATTTTCAGTGCGTATTCATTTTTTTTTCCCCTCTTCATTTTGACTGCATTTCCACTTTCTGATGTATACGTCTGTCTTGTACTGCCGTTGCTTTTCTGGTTTGCTGTCATAGTTAGCTTTACTTTCCTGATCCTGTTCTGCTTAAGGTTTTGAATAAGTTGTCAGTTAAGTAGAAATAATTAGTAGGTTATGTGGAAGCAGTTTAATTTCACTATGCCCAGGATATAGCAAAATATGCATTAAAAACATGAGATAGGAAATGATGCAGCTTAGCTGCAGAAACCATTACTAAAATCCCACCTTTTATCAGACCTCTGGCTTTTAGTTTGCATCAGCAAGACAAACTGATCATTCAACTTTCTTAGCCATTGAACATTGAAACTTCTAACTTTCCTAGTATATCATCTCTTTGTTTGGATCTCTGTCATTTTAACTCTCCTTCCCCATTACAGTAAACAAACAAAAAAAAGCTCTTGAAAGCATTAAGCTGAGTCCAGCATGCTCTTCTGAAGTATTTTTGAGAGCTCTAGCATGTTACCTATACAAAGCTATGCTACTATTGCTTGTCCTACACCAATGCCTGTTTTGGGAGAATCAACTAACTCTTGTCAAAAACACTGATCTGAGTTCTCACATGCTATGAGCTTTGAAACAGAGTTGTGTGTGTTTCCTGGGTTCTGAAGGCACTTCTCCTGCCATAGTTGGATATGGATTGTCATGCCAGAAAAAAAAACCCGCGCTAGGCTGCTTCGTTCAAATCTGCACTTAAGATGTACTGGCTTCGCTAGCCGTGCTTCAGCACAGTTGCTCGTCACTTACTGATACAAGAATGCCAGAATCCAACCATGAAATTGTATTATTGATCTGGTGAAATAATATTTCCAGGGCAGTTGGTTTTCTTCATTCATATGCTGTCCAGCTTGATGAGATCTCTGGTTTCTGTAATATTAGGATTATATAAGTAATAATCATTCCGATGTTCTGGTGATCTGAGATTCTTTAAGGTCCTGGCATCAGCCACCCCTCAAAACCATTTTGAATGGATTACCCGTTTCCTCACAATCTCTGCTTCATTGCTTTCTAGTATCTGTTAGGTTAACAAAGGTAGAATTTGTGTAGTAGAACATGAAATGTTAATGTAATGTAATGAAATTTCTTCCAGGTTAGTAGCTTCTTTCTTCATTCCACTCACCACAATAATCTAGTACAATGAATGGGTAGAAAAAAATTTAGCAGTATTAAATTGACTCTTTTAAGTGGATTGTAAGAGTTTATTGATTTTGTGTTAAGGTGATATTTTAATACTAGTATTTGGTTGCTGGAATACTCTTTCAAGTTTGGAAGACTTTTGTTGTTGCTTTTGTTCCTTTTTATTACTTAGAAGACATGCAGGGTTTTTTTAAACATGTCTTGTTCTGCTCTGTCAGATCTTCCTGTTTAAAAAAAAAAAAAAAAAAAAAAGGCAATTGTTTTTTTCACAATTCCTTCCCCTTTTTCTTCTGTTTTTGCTCCTGCCCTTAGCTGGATTTAATATTGTGGCCACAGCTATTTTTAGGTGCTTACTGCTTAAATTACAACATTTTGTGTCATGAATGCAGAGACTGAGCCAACAGCAAATATGCTGTTTTTATGGTTTGGACTTATTTTTCCAATAAATCATGAGATATTTTGATTTTTTTCCTTTTCTTCACTGTTGAGTATTCTGTAACATTTTATCAAGAACCTAGAAATATATTTAATTTCCTGTGAACAGAAGTCTGATTATTTTCTACATCCAGGTTGGAATATTTTGGTTTCAGTTACGGTTTTGTGGGCCTACAGGTGTGATTGTTAAAACCAGTAAGGTTTTAGAGGTGTCTGCAGTAATTATAACCTTCATGTAACTGCAACCTTTTGGTAATTATAACTTTCAATTTCTAGAATATATGTTTTTATTCTGTTGGAATTATGTATTTAAGCAATTAAACAAGTTCTGAAGTTGGTGTTCAGCTTCTGTTATCTTCAGTAACGTTTTATCAGATCTGTTCTTCAAACTACTAAATGCAGAAATGGAAGTTAAAGGTTTGGCTGTGCATTTATATAAACCTTGACTTTATGATTGATGTCTAAAATTACTTCTCAGACATGTCATTATATTTACTTGTAGTACCAGTAAGATTGAGGACAGTAGAGTAATTTTGGTCAATTCTTGGAAGGTATTCATGATGACATCAATGTTACCTTGAGAAGTGGCTGAATAACTCACTAAGGTGGGATAGAAATAAGATTGGCCAAGGTAGCCAGATCAGAGGTAAATCATGCAAAATATTAACAATGAGAAATGTAGAATGTCTGACCCCATTAAAATCAGAATGTGCTAAGAAGTCTTAGAAAAGATTCTCACTAACATCTGAACATGAGCAAAAAGATGAAGGACCTGAATGTGATTCTGAGTTGAAGAATCACATTGCTGTATTCTCTGTATGCTAATAAACGATCAGAGTGAAAACTAACCCAAAGGAAAATAATGTCAACTAGGAGGCAGACATTTTACTAAGCTTGGATGGTTGTCTAGAAATAAAATAAAATTGAGCCTGCTGTCCATAGAGAAATTATTTCATGAGTTTCTACCGCTTCCTTGTGATTTTGTTAAACAGCACTAGAAGCAATAATAGTAAAGAAACAAGAAACGCTAGTAAAAATTGATGCTGTTAGCACAACATGCACAGTTTACCACCTAGACATTTAAGTTCATCATGGTTTGCCTCTCCTATTTCCCCTGTTATGGTAGTTTGTTTTTAGGTTCCGGGCTTTTTAATTAATTCATTCTTTCTGTGCTTCAAAAGCAGCTAGAATGGTGTGGATAATCATGGAAATTAATAGTACTAGAAGTGAAGTTGTGGTGGAATTTTAATTTTCTCTGTTCCACAGTATAAATATATTAGTTGTAGTGGGAATGTTCTGTTCTTGATTCTTTTCTCTTGCAAATCTAATCAAAAAGAATGTTTCTAACTTTCCAAATGTCCATGTTTCCCTTTAACATATGTCTGAAGTAGTCCAGAACCAATACGAATACACCCCTCCCTGCTGCTTAATTAGTTGTTTTTCTAGGGAGTTCACGCCATTGACGTTAATAAGTTGCTTTCTTTGAGTAGTTTTGTAAAGTAATGCTAAGATCAAACCTAATGAAAGGGATTCCCTAACCAATGGTAATAAAATCCTCTAATCCATGTGAGCTAGGTAGCTGGTTAACACAGAGCCAACTCTGTTAGTTTGGGACTGTTTGCTGAAATATCTTCATGTCCAGTGATGGGAGCCTGTTCGAAATTAACTGAAAAAAGGAATTAATGAAAAGATAAAAATAAACTCTAGGGCTATGGAGAATAAGGTTATTTATAGTATCTCAGGATCCCACAAAATTCTAGGAGATAGAAATAAATGTAACATTAGATGAAGTTTGTCATTGTCGTTTATGATGTTGAAAATAAGTATTGTGTAGTTAATGCACATGTAGTTTTAAAGAACCTGGTTAATATAGTAGTAATTTACAGAGATGTATACTTTCCATTTGAATGGCACTGAAAAGTACAGTTGCTTAATATATCATTCAGCTGAACTGCAAATCTAAGCACCAGCTGGAACACTGCAAATTT